GCAGAAATGGACAAGTGGGGTTGACTGTGGCTAAGTGTCTGGAGTTGCTAAGTGTGGATATGAAGGTTTGAATAAAGAATGAATGTTGATCATTTGATTACTCTTAATTGCAGTTCTGCCTTTGACACAAAAACTGGGCTTCGTGTGGCTGTAAAGAAGCTGTCCCGACCATTTCAGTCTATCATCCATGCCAAGAGGACCTACAGGGAGCTGAGGCTGCTTAAACACATGAAACATGAAAATGTAAGTTGAAGGAGATGGTTTGAAATGTTGGTCTGAAGTTGGACTATCCAGTGAGCATCCAGCATGTTGCATCTAAGGGTTTTGTTACATAGGTTTTATCCGAAACTAAATACAAAGCTTGCAGTAGTCAAGGGATTATAGTAGAAAGACATGCAGATTAAAAAAAAACAAACCCAACCAAACTAAACGACAAACAAAACCCACATGGTATTAAGTCTTAATATTTCCTAGAATAATCTGTAAATTACTGCTTTGCACGTTCATGCTGCCTTAAGGATTGGGGCTGCAGGTGAAGTCACTAATATTCTCCTGCTCGTTTGCTGTAATTGACATTATGTTAAGAATTTGTTGAAAAAGTAAAATCTCAAAGTCTGTTTTTAGTGTCTTCTGGAGGGTTTTTCATATTTGTTTGGTTGTGGCTTGTCTGTGTCAGAAGGGTGGGGAGTAGATGTTTGCTGGATTCCTGTAGGTAAAATAGGGAGGAAAAAATAGGAGTGGAAATCAGGTGGCTTTTCATACCAACCATTCACTTCAATCATCAACAGGGAGACAAAATAGGATGGTCCAAATGTAGTGTTAAGCTGAGTTTTGATACAACCTCTATCTATTTGGTGTAGAAAACAGCTGGCTGACCAGCTTGATGTTTGTGGCATCAACACACCAGCATCTTTGTGTGTGCTGTTGGGAGCATAAAGTCTCATCACCTGCCCTGTTTGGAGCTGTCAGAATGTCAAGAGGAAAGAAAGGTGTGGATTTCTCTTGGCCAAGCAAGCTCCAACTTAGCAAAAGAAAAGAAAGCTGCTTTGGAATTGAGCTGAGCAAAGCAAGGACCTTTATACAGCACAAAAAGTCAATGAAGCCTGATTTCATTGGAAGGTTCTCCTGGGATGGTTTGTTGAGAACTTCTGTGGTGGTTGTGTTGTGGCTCCTAACTACTGCCATCACCAGCTGGTGTTCCCTAAATCCTGGGGTTTTTAGTGTAGCAAACAGAACTGGAAATTCTGATACATAAATGGACTGTTATCAATGATTCTTCCTCTTTGCCTCTATGACTCTCTTGTCTCTGGAGTAGAGGTGGCATTTGGTCCTGCTCACTATCCATCCCCTGGAGACCTTTTCTCATAGCTGAGATATTCTCCAAACAGGAAAGATTTGAATATCTGTTTAAAAAATAATAAAAAATCAGCATATAATTCCATTTCCTCTAAGCCAATAAGGTTAAGCAGTGATAATTAGATTGTGACTGATGCTATAACGCTTGTGTCTGACATTCATTAGTACTTTGGATTAGTGTTGCAAAGAGCCTGTGTAGCTGTAGGAGAAGAAGGGGTAACAGGAACTTAAGTTGTTAATATATAGAAATGTTTCTTATCAGTTGATCTGTGGGGAGTTTATCTAGGTTGTGGTTTAAAAATCTGCAGATGCAAAGGTGTTCAGAGCCAGTTCAGGCAGGCTTGTCAGTGTCAAGTTCCAGGAAGCCTCGTTAGCTTGCACAAAGCCCAGCACTGAGCAGATGGGAGAGCAACTGGATTTGTTGTCATAAGAAGAAATTGATAAGATCTTTGACATCCTAAAATTCTGGGAGGGGAAAGGAAAAGGTTGTTAGTGATTGGGTTCTGACTTTTCTGGTGTTCACACTTGCTCAGAGGTACATCAGTGACATGCTGCAGAGTAACTGGATGGAAGTGGTTGTGAAACTGGATGGAAGGTGTGGATGGTTTGCTACTGTGCTTTACAGCACAGCAAGAAAGAATGATACATAAAAAACCCTGAAGTCTAGATAGCAAAGTCAGTGTTTGTCTTTCCATGCTAAACTGGGCGGATTAAGTTGAATTTTTGTGTAAAAACTGATAAAGAAGAGTCCACTAGAGAAAGGAATTGTAAGCAAGAGAATTATTATTATACAGGATGGGTGTGAGTGTTACAGTCTGAAGATTCCTGCCTAGAAATGGAGTTGCTATGATGTGTATCAAGAGAGATAGGAAAGTGTTCTATCTCTTAAGTTTCCTCAATAAAATGTAATCTATAATGTGTAACATAGATTAGACAGAGCCTTTTCTTTCTTACCCCCTTGCTCTCTTTTCCAGAGCACAGTCTAAGTTCCCTAAATGTTTTGTCTTTAATTTTGTGCTTAGGGATAACTCAATTGGCTTTGAGATCCTTGACAAGTGTGAACAATGGGATGAAAAGGATGATGTGAGGGGGAACACAAGAATCCAGCTCTTGGTTTTATTTACATGCTTGAACTGTTACTGGGGTTGCTGAAAAGTGCAGGGGGCTTGTGTCTCCAAGGCAAGGAAGATGCTGACTTGGAAGAGAAGTTTTTTGGAGGTGGATGAGGAAAACCCGTCCCTGTTATCTCATCTATTAATAAAATAAGATATTATTTGCTATTAAGAGAAGGAAAATAAGGTTTAAAAGTATGTTCCAGTGAAAATAAGAACAATCTTTATTGACCAGATGAGTTTTTTTTAATGCTGTAGGTGACCTAGAAGGTGGATAAAAAGGTATAGGTCTTCTTTTCCACCAGGTAACACATGCATGTCCTTTTACTCTCTACTGTTAGAACAGCTGAACTGTAAAATGACAGGTGGAGTAGCTGCTCTTTGGGGGGAAAATACAAATGACTGAGGAGGTGTTGGTGAAAATTAGGTCCTTGTTGCATTGCACTGGTTTTCCAGCTTGATTTTTCTCTGTAGTCATTATTATTCATTGCTTGTGTGAGAGATCCTTGAATTTTTCTAGCCATTACTCAGTACAAGTGAAACATATGAGACTCTGGTTTTAGTGTGTAGTCAACAGTGTAGCTTAGGATTGAGCAGAAAGCAAACAATTTTGTCTAGTGTTGTTGTTGGTTTTTTTCCTTATCCATTTATTTCCTGAACAAATTTGAGCTGGTTTTTGAAATATTTTAAACCAGTGTTTACACCTCCCTGTTGTCATGGCTTCTGTTTGATGCTTTAGGGGGATAGTTGGTGTGAAAAAACAGATGTATCTTTTTAACCTTAATTCTTATTACATTTTTTTACACAATAATTGAATGTTTGTTTCTGATCTTATATAAATACTTATTCGTCTATATCTGGAGGAATCATTTAGCTGGAAATGAAACATCAACTGGGATAAGTCGTTTCTATTTCACAAAGGATTTTAGGGACTGTATCATATTACATCATGAGTGTATTTCACAGCTTTTTCACTTTACTGTTTTCTTTCCAGGTGATTGGTCTGTTGGATGTGTTCACCCCTGCCAAGTCACTAGAAGAATTCAATGATGTGTAGGTAACTTCTCTGAAAGCTGCAACAAAACATCATTTGGATCTTCTTTATGTCTCCCAGATTATTATAGAAATATTTGCCACTTTAATTTGTCTGCCATGATTCTCAGTTCTGATCTTGACCAATACTGTAGGAACTGGTTTACTCATCTGCTGCATTATTTAGATTCATGGAATGGTTTGGGTTGGAAGGGACCTTCAAGATCATCTAGATCCAACCCCCTGCATGCGCAGGGACACCTCCCACCAGACCAGGTTGCTCCAAGCCCCATCCAACCTGCCCTTCAACACTGCC